TTTCTCGTCAATATGATTCAAACAGTCCTGTTCTTAAAAAATATGTACACTGTATATCATTGCCCTCTTGTAATCTGTTTATATACAACTTGTCTACAAAAGTCGAAGTCCAATGTGTTTAGTAATTCTATGTTTCTTAATTAATTGTTTTTGTTTTACTTGATCTAGTAAACGTTTATCACAAAATTATAAAAATCATATTTCTTTCTTTCTTGTCTATTCTTCATATTACGATACATAATATATATTTGTATGTGCCTTTAATTCATTTCATGACGTTAAAGGTCATGACCCCTAGAGGTTGAAGGTCATATGTCACTCGGGGGGGGGGGTGGAGGTGTCATGTATCCGAGTCTGGAGGGAGCAAACATTGAACTTGAAAGAAACATCAACCTCCCCGGGGAATAACAGTGGGTCGAAAAAAGAGATCGAGCCGGTTGTTTGTATTATTCATTAGGTAGACAGATATCGAATAAAGCTCTGAGCATTCAGATTGCACGGGCAAAAGGAGGGGAGGGGGTATGCCAATATATAATGCAAAGAGATGTGACAGACATAAATGTATTTGTTCAAAGTGTATACTCCGAAAAAGTAAATACAGAGAATATTTGGCCCTATCCAACTAACTATTTAGGTAAAGGGTCCGAATACATTTACAGTCATGCATATTACATACTAATACGTATGGATAGCCCAGCTCAGCATTACTAACATGATATTCGAATCCCGACACGGCACTAATATCCTTTGGCAAGATATTAACCTGCACTTGCTACTCTCCACCCAGGTGTTAAATGGGTACCCGGTAGGATGCGACCGTCATTGTTGGTCAAACAGTTTTTGAGCGTCATATAACGCCTGGCTCGAATGCTCCCCAGGGAGTGGAGATTGTGTACACATTTTGTGCGGGCAAGCACTGAATCCAATGACCGGGGTAATAGTATATTTGTAAAGCGCTTAGAGACATTTTGTATTAAGCGCTATATAAAAATTAAATATTATTATTATTATTATGATATTGCTGGTGTTTGTTTTGACTACATTATTTGAATTATCTAGCGGTGACATTGGTCTAAATAATGCACGTGGGTTTAGGTAGACACTTTTAACCACACGACCGTTCATGACAGTTACTAATCTTTCATTTTTATTTCGGTTTTAAAGCTTATCTGCCGTAGTTTACAGGAGGGATTAGACTGCCCTGCAAGGTCACTGGACAGGTGGTTATCTCATCAACTCAGCTCTCAGTTAACATAAGCAAAAGAGGATCATGGGGGACCACTGGTCACCGATTAGGCATTGTTTGTTATATAGAGGGCGCAAGTAGCTACAAGTAGTGCAGTGGGCCTTTAAGAGGTGGCCTATGAGATCTCAAAACGTACTTATGACCAAAAGTACAGTCCATTTTGTTTGTGGAGGGCCAGAAGGGCGTTAACATTTTGTGGATTAACATGATTTCCCATCCTTCTGGATCTGAGAAAGCGATGTCTGTAAACAAGGGAGCATAATAACACATCTACGCACATTTTCATACTGTTATTACTTTTAATGGGAATTACGTATGAAGCAATAGTAAGCTTAAGCACTCAAGTACGAATCATGCGAGTATCGAATTCCAATCACTATCAGATCCGTGTATTGCATTTTGATAGGTATATTGATAATAGTTTGGAAGAGTATTTCACTTCGTCAACGGTTTCGATGTGTACATAACTAAAGTTAGGGGATCTCGATAATTTAAAAAGTTGTGCAAGCGAAGCATCTGTGTACTTAAAACTCAGAAATAAATAGACTAATGAAAGAAAACAAATCTATTATCATTGGACAGATTTCCACTCGAGTACTCACTTACAGTGAGCTACTTGAGAAATAGGTAAACAAACTTCGCAAAAATGAGCTCAGGATCGAAACGTAGGAAATTGTTGTGCAGTAAAATTATGCTAGTGGGTTCATGAATCCAGAGCCATATCTAGGTTCCCAGGAAGCCCCTATCATAGGACGGGTTCGTGCTCAATACAAATTGAATAGCGAACTTGTTGGCAAATTGGCTGACACCACCTCCAAATTCAAAAGGTTCTCAGAACGTCCCTTACAGTGCACCAGTTTGTGAATCTGGGGCCTTCTACGATTTAACCATTGGGCGCGCGAGGGAGATGAATTAAGATCGATCTTTCGTGTACATTAATCCATTGACTCCTGAATTGTATAGGTCCCATAGACTTAGCACGGGGACCACCAGGTTCCCGTAAGCAAAGGGTTAAGCTTGTTTGAATACAGAACAGTTAAAAAGAATAGTGATCTTTCGTAGATGTGAACATATTATTCTTTCTTCAATCGTGTGCAGTCAAACCTGTCTAAGTGGCTACCTGTCTATAATAATAATAATCTTTTAAAGTCCACTCCAAATTTTATTAAGTTAAACCGAAAATGGAAATTCTTTTTGCCCAATTGATCGTGAGCCCAGCAGCCACTGAGCAGCGCCAGATCGACGTTGCTCTGTCCCTTATTGTTGAACGCCAAACAAGATAGCAGCAACTCCCGTCTTTTAACGTCTGTTGGTATGACGCGGCCGGGGTTTCGAACCCATGACCTTCCGGTTGTGAGGCGAACGCTCTACTGACTGAGCCAACACACCGGTATCTATTAATGGTCACACTAAAAGAACATGTATGTGAAAAGACATCTGGAAATGCTACCTTTCTACCGGGGCCACTGTTTCTTTTCCTAATTTAGTATTAAACAGCTTGATTGTTATTAGTTTGAATCTCTATATTATTATCACGTGAATTCTAACAGTACAACTGTATGGACGTTTACTAATTTTGTTAATATACAGTAAGAAAGAAAATGGATTACCCAGAGCTGATGTTACCATCAGTTTGAGATTTTAAAAAATGGTTCGGAACAAAAGCTCAACAAAATGAAGGATAACAAAAAAGAATATGAAGACGTCATCTCCAAGGTAGCATATATGACATTGGTTTAAAAAAAATATCTATAAATAAAATCAATGATTAGATGACACATCCGGTGATTGGAGAACTAAGGCAATCATATGCATTACTCATATAGAATTTCTCCATTTCTTCTTCAACTTCACTTCTATATCTTTCTCCCTCTTTGTCTATCCGATCCTCTAACAGATGAAAATTTTCATCGCTGTCTAGTATTGATTTATAAAAGTCTTCATCAATTGTTGTATAGTGCTTTCGGCGATTCGTTACATGTGCCATCTAAACGAAATTAGTTGAATTCCATCCAAGTTTTTTGCATCAATAAATGTAATCGGAATCTTTAAATCTGTATGATCGAGATGTTCTGTCTAGATGACTGAAAAACATATCATCTGAAAATCGTAAGCCCAATGTTTTCTTGTCAATGTGTGTGATGCTAGAACGTGATGTATAATTGAAATGAAAGTATGAACGAATGGGAAATATTACTTCTGAAAGGAACACGTCAACTTACAGAGTTCCTTCTGTTTATGTTGAGTTTGTGATGTGTAACGGATTGAGGCCCGAAACACTATGCCTGGAAATATTTCAATTGAGTTTGGCTCACAGTATTAGGTAACAGTTTCCAGTCACGTTTCTTGCTTATCGATATAAGTGACGAATGTATCTTACATTAACCCGATTCTGCTACCGTATTGTTACCGCTTTTGTAACTGTATGATTAACACTTACATACGTTACCGCATGGTTACCGCTTTTGTTACTGTATGATTACCACTTACGTTACCCTATGATTATCGCTTATGTTACCGATTGGCGCACAGTATGGTTTCATGGTAGAAATGCAATGCGTAAGAGCAGATAGACATCGGTGATAAAGAAATTAATTGTGAATTATATAAGTAACAAAACATTACATGTCTCCTAATTTAACATCTCATGTCCATCCAAATAAGATGCTGTATAACGGATTAAAAATGATATCATGTCTGTAACAGTCTGTTTATGATTCGAGCAATTTTTCTGCAAAAACGCTGTCAAATGAAGATGTGAACGTCTTAATCATTCAGAAATCTTGTATTCCTTTTAAAAATGTGCATGTAGTTCGAATAATCTGTTTTCCAAACAAGACGCTATATCGGATTTCAAAATTATAGCCATGCGTGTTCATGATTCGAGCAATTTTCTGCAAAAACGCTGTCTTAGGAAGATGTGAACATACCAATTTTGCGAAAATTCTTGATTTCTTCTAAAAATGTTCTCTTGTAGGTCGGTAAATCTGTTTTACCTTTAAAGACAAAAAATATACCATTTATAAGATCAGTGACGTGAGATATTCATTTATTTGAATGCCTCTACTGTTTTGTCAATCCGAATTCAGAAATGCAACTGTTCGAGATCTTCAGAAAACAAATATTATTAACACCTACAAAATTATATAAAAGAGTGCCTCGATAAGAAAACAGGTAAGGAAGAATTTTTGACGAAGATCGAATAGGTTTTTTTACTTTCATATATTATAGAATTTGTATACGGTCTATACAGATTATTCAGCCTAAGGCAAGTGTTTGATACCTATTAAATCATGTAATGTCACATGCAAAACGAGCATTTGAGAGCTGCGTGGCACGAAATATATTCACTAATATCAAATTCATCGCACCTTTCAGGAATGTCTAATGTATAGCTATAAAGTAAAATTAGATTGAGGGAAATTATCAATGTCCCGTTGACGTTAAAACTACAGTTTCAAAAATATTCCTGTCTTTTACAAGACACGAACAACTCATTATTTCAAATTCGTTTCGGTTCGTTTAAATGCAAAGAAACATCAGTAGTTACATTCTTTTTCTAATATAACATTCTGCATACACAAGAATAAACTTTGTGACGGAAGAATTAGAAACAGCATTGAAATGTAATGTTTGTATTATTTAAACAACACAGTTTAATATTATTTCCAATACTTCCGTCTGTATACTGTAAAAATTAAAACGAAGTAAGTAACTAACAATTATATTGACTTTTATATTTAGGTTTCCTCACCAGATCCAGTCGAGAACCACTAACAAGACAGTTTCGACTAGCAATCCAGATAGACAAATAATTCCAACAAGTCACGCCGGGGAAGATAATTCCAACTTGTTACGACAACGCAATCTAAAACAAGTCTTGAAAGTTCTATTCAATCCCAACACACGCAGCTGGCAACACAACTCCAGGTAGGTCTAACTATCTGAATGACTGCAAAAGCAACTTTCCTTTTGCCTTCTCCCCGTCCCATAGATGTTCACTCAACGCTTCCCAGGCTTTGTGTGATGAGTGAGCGAGCGAACACTGATAGTTTTATGTCTTGCTCATCGGGATTGAACGTGGGAGGATGGGAATTTTGTCAGGATGCTATCATCGAAGGTTTATTCTCGCTCCCAGCCGCATTGATTTAATTACAGGATGCTAGCCGTATGCTTCTGAAGCCTGGGCGCATGATACATGTATGTAAACGTGATAAAGAGTTAACGACGACTGGGGTTTTCGGTGTTATAATTATCATCTGTTTACTGCCTATCATTATTTTCCTTCTCTAACCAAATAAATGGCGGCCTTTTAATATCAGTTTTATTACAATATTGTATTGATTAGTTAATATTTGAGAAGCTAAATGAGTAACTGATGATATCTAAATGTCCATGCAATGATTATTACGTTTTTTTTTTAAAGCAGTTGGTCATGTATGAAGTCTCTCAAAAAGATATTTGAAAATACACACATTATCGAATCCATTACCCTTCAACTCCCTTTAGTAGTTTAAATACTAAAAAAAAAAAAAAAAAAAAAAAAAAAAAAAAAACACTTGCATAGGAAACATGCACAATGGCGACAAACGACAGCCAGCGAGAACAACAAGAAAACACAACAAAAACGAAGAATATAAAAGATACTTTCTTTCAGACTTGAAGGTAGTCTCCCAAACTATTGGGCCGCGAATACAATTGGCCGAACGGAGTTGTTTAATATCGTGACGTATAAGCCTCTCATTAAGGAGCACAACCGAAAATTAAACCTCTTCACTCGAGAGTGTGTGTGTTGTGTGATCAAGAGAGTACGTCGAGAGGAGAGTACGAAAGAGAGAAAAAACGAAATGGTGCAAGACGAGAAAAAGGAGATCGAGTTTGATAGGGATGATTATAGAGATCTCTCTTTCTCCCCCCCCCCCTCTTTCTCTCTCTCTCTCTCTCTCTCTCTATATATATATATATGTGTGTGTGTGTGTGTGTGTGTGTGTGTACATTATTATACATTTATGTTGAATATTAAATTATCTATATGATTAAGAGAGAGAGAGAGAGAGTGAGGGAGGAAAAGAGAAAGAGAGAAGTAAGAGATTGATAGGAAGATGTGAGACAGGGTACATTGGAGAGTCAGAAGGAAAGATAAAGGTGAAGAGAGAGGGAGAGAGAGAGAGAAAGAGAGAGGGGAAAAAGTGAAAGTTGGGGAGGGGAAGAGGTGAGAAAGATAGAGATTGAAAGGGAGAGAAAAGATTTAGGAGACGTGGAGAAAAAAGGGGAAAGGAGAAGGAGAGAGAGAGAGGGAGAAAGAGAGAGAGAGAGAAAGAGAGAGATAGAGAGAGAGAGAGAGAGAGAGAGGGGAGGGGGAGAAGGGGGCAGATAAACAGAGATAGAGAATCGCACGTAGATGTTTGATACTGTGTCAGATGGTTGCTATTGATACGCGTTAATTAGTTCAAAATCCGTCGCCCACACGCTTCCTAGAAGATGAGGGAAAAATTGGAATTTCAAACACTCAAAGCTTCTACGATCGAATTCGTTTTTGATACATCACCTCACTTTCATCCTAATCCATAATCTGTCTTACCGTGAACAGTGTGAATTATTAACCGATGATGGATTTAGTTATGAATATGATACGCAAATCACTTCCTCTCACGGTCTGAGTTTCCGCCTCCCCCGTTTTTAAACCTCGGAAAAAATTTCGTCGGATGTACATATACGTATAAATTTGTTTATGTTAAGTAAATCTATTAAGGAAATTGATTTTAAAGCAAAGTTATTTTTTTGGAGTCAATCTAATTTCATGCATTTTAAAATTGTCTTACATAATCAGAATAGGGAAAAGTTAAACCAGGGCATGTGAGTTTAAAGTCTCACCTCCCTGGTTAAACTGATGTGCAATCTGCTATAAAAACAATTTATATACATATATTTATTTTATTTGAAATGAATGAGGTATAATGTATTTGTGTATACTATTTCTATAATATCGATGTTAAACTGATTCATTGTGGCCTTTGAAATTAGGCGCGCCATCTTTGTATTTTTAAAAGGTCAATGATATTCTCCTTGTACATCGACCACAGCATAAGTACGGTAAAAAAGGGGAATATTGGTATAGCATCTTAAACTTTGGTAAAAAAGTGAAGGTTGAGCTAAAAAATTGAAAAAACCTGATTCAATCTTTCATCTTTGCGGTAATTTTTAGCAATAGCTGAAGGCGTAATTGAAACATCTCTTCTTCAGAATTTACCCTCCTTCCTATGAAAAATACCAAGCAGATTGCTAACAGAGTCAGTTTGAGAGGGATACCTTGCCTAATGAAGTAGGTTAAAACCGCCGCTTAAAAATGATCCCTTTTCCATGTATAAAAGAAATCAAATAATATCCCAACAGAAAAAATAGCAATGGTCTAATCATAATCGGATCATGGCAAGGACGAAACAAGACAAATACTCCATCAGTGTATATGTGGAATTAGGTCTCTACTAGTTTTCTTCATAGCTCTGTAGAAGGAATTTATGACGATGTTTACTGCGTTTGAATATAACCACAAAGATATTCCCGAGATGTTCTCGTAGTCCTCCCTACTGACAAATTCGATGATGGTAAAGGATTTTAAGAAATTGTGACCTCTATAATCACTTTGTGGGATAAATATAGCTATGCCGCATGAAAGGGATATTAAGAATGATTAAACAAGTTAAATAACGTTATAACAAATTTCGGTGGCACAATTGTGTGTGTACTTTTATGCTGTTTACCAATATCTGTTTGAAGCGGTCTTCTCTATGCAATTTCTGTCTGCTATTATTCATTGCGTTATAATCTTGTTAACAGGTCTAAGAAAGTCACTAATAATATATTGCTTTCAGCGCGTTGAGCTTTAGACAAAAAAAACCAGCATCAGTGGTATGGTATCGAATGTCATTCTTTGATTTTTACCAAGGGAATTAAAATGTCCATGTGGACACGGTCTTGATGCATGTAGAAGAGGTTATTGATCTTTCGCACCATGCACCTCTCTTCACTGTCACTAGTGGCTTTGCGGTATATCAACACACGCGAGGTTTATGATTGTCTGCCAAAAATTAGTTTGGCCAAGCATTGGCGCCATGTTGTGAGATATAACATCATAGCGCCAACACACGGGATAAAAATTAATACAATATTTTATATATTGAACAACATGCAACATTATTGTAAGTACATGTTTAGTTCGTGGGTATATTAAGAGGTAATGGATGTGATAGGGTAATAAGAATTTAATTAAGAATTATAACAATACTAATTATAACCATACAAATGAAAAGCTAAGATAGGACTTGGTAGTAGCGAGGGACAGAGAGGCACAACTCGAAAGACATCATACTTAGATGAGTAGAGAGAGAGAGAGAGGGGGAGAGAGAACGAGAGAGAGAGAGAGACAGAGAGAGAGAGAGATTATGATGCGGCAGCTATAGAGCAGTATGATCAATCAAGAGGCAAAATATTCTCTATTAAAGTAAATACAGCTCTGCATGTTACTCCATGCACATTGTCTAATCCAGTTTTAGCATGCCTCATCACAGCGCTAAATTGGCAATAATTCCTCTCCGAAACATAGATGCTGGGACATCTGAACCCATCCCGCCAATTACGGAATTCGAATTATTCGAATGAGATGTTTGATGTTGTCATAGTGGAGCTAGAATATCTGTCATCCCGGGCCCTTTCCTCGCGGAGACTCTCTCTGATCACGCCGCGGGGTAAGTCATACACCAACATGACGAAGGAGACTTAATAATTGAGAAGTGCAATAAAAACCTGCGACAATAATTGCTACAGGGTAACTTCCTACCCCTAACCGATTTCCGAACCCCAATCCTAAACCCAACACTACCCCCCCCCCCTCCATACCTCAGTCACAACTATAGGCGTTGTGGCGTGCGCCTGTAATCCAGCTAAAAGTGGAAGTTACAAACTGATTTTTAGCCGAGGACGCAGGTTCGAAACTGAGTCACGTCTTTCGGATGGTGACGTTTAAAGGTCGGTCCCCAGACGTAAATTCAATTCAATTCAATTCAATTCAATTCAATTTCTGGTTTATTGCAAATAAAATCATACTGCATAAAAAGTCCGGAGACTCATACAATTCAGTTTACAAATTATAAATACATACAAGAATAAAGAAATCAATACTTTTAGCAATCTTTATATTAATTACTGATTATAATGAACTAAACAACTCATTTCAAACAATCGTGAAATAATACATGTTCTAATTATGCAGTTGTAACATTTAAATAGTAAAATGATTGATACACGTCTGTTAAAACCCAATACACAGACACACCTCAGCCACATTAACGAGACCGACACCAGACCGAAAACAGGCCGATCGAACAATTGCATTACCCCTAGTGGCCAATGGAGTCGGTCTTTAGACAGTTCGGCTGTGTGACTGAGGTACCACCCCAACTACTTATACTTGTGACAGCATAAAAGCCTGGAGCATTATTTTGTCGCCGCAGCATAATGCCTGATCACTTAAACGTCATCTCGTAAACAAGGAATAACACCTTTTCAAATTGTGTATGCATTTTTTTCTTCTTACAGTATCGAGCTTCCGAAGAACATGATTCATGGGTGACAGCAGCATTCCCATTTTGTCTCTAATTAGCATATTTCAGTCTATTCAGATGACTTTACCGCAGGTACGTTCTTCCAGTCATTTCCTTTACGCAGGTCATAGACGTTTTAGACATTCGCTTTTGTAAACATGCAAGCCTATTTATGATAAATACTTTGGAGATTGTCAGTAATTCGACAGTTACATGCAGGGCTGATTTCGACGAACTCGATGTGAAAAAGAAACGTCACTTGATGAAATTTAAAAAATAAATTGGGATAATGAGAATGTGACAAGAGCAAGAGAGATACAATGGACAATGAGAGATTGGAGGAAAACGATATAAGGAGACAGACAGGCAGAGTAAGAGGAAAAAAGAGGGGGGGGGGGGTTAGTAGGATG